TGTTGTCTGAGGGCTTGCTCCTGCCAGGCAGGGGCCAGTCCTGCTGCCAAGGGAAGGGGCATGGCTCCTGAGGTCGGGCAGGAGATAAAGGTGGCTCATGCTGAGGGTCTGGCCTTGCCTTGCTCAGGGAAGTGCCAAAGCAGACCATGGGCATCCATACAAAAACCTTTAAGAGAGAATAAGGATTCTAGCTGAAAGAACTTTCTTCTTCTTGGTCCCTTTCTTGCTCTGTGCTGCAAGAGGATACAGTAAGCAGAGGCATTTTGTTCCTAATAGTAATACTGTACTCTTAGACAGAAGATCATCGTAACCATAGGCATTTCCTATTTTGGCTACCAAAGGAAACTGCCTGTGGAAAGTGCATTCAGGACCCAGACAGCACACAGCAGAGCTGGGATGGCTGCAGGAGCCTGCAGCAGCAGCCAAAGGGAACTTCAGGCTTCCCAGCTCAGAGCAGGAGCTTGTGCAAGGACCTGGCAATTTCCAGAGAGTCAGCTCTCCCCACAACAAGAGATCTCTTGATCCAATGGATGGCTTCGCCAAAAGCCACGTTGTACCTTCTCCACCACAGGCTTCAGGAGCTGGCTTCTCCCTCACCCTCCCTTGGCATTAAGATAAAACAAGAACCTGAGTTCCGTTAGCACAAGGTCTTTGCCCCCAGTCCTGGAGGGTTTCCTCTGCTGGGAGCTGAGAAGCCTTGCTGTGCTTCACATGGATGCTGGGAAGGAGGCTCAGGTGCAGACCACGCTGTGAGAAGAACTTGAAATACTTCTTGATGCTTTGAGAACATTCTAAAACCTCCTAAAGCCAACACTGGGGCAGTCTGAAGAAGGCTCAGTTACTCAGTTTAAATCCAAATGACTCAGAGGTTCATCCCCCCATCAGTGCTGCTGATTTAACAGCTCCAACAGCAGAGATTGCTCAGATTTAGGAAACAATCAATAGAAAGATTAGGAGGAGGCATCCTTTAGAAGTCCTAAATCCTCACCCAAGCACCCCCCATGCAAGCAGCACTCCTGGCATTCCTGCTCTGCTCCCTTCAGCATCATAGCAAGGACCACGGCAGACTCAGGTCTTTCTGACACCTTCCTGCAGGTGCCTTTCTGGGAACATTTGTGCCAACACTCCTCCAAGCTCGGAGGCTGAGGCTCCACTGAGCATCTGTCAGAGCACAGTAAAGCAACCAGACCACTTGTGTTCTGCCTTCCACTCGGCCAGAAGCTGCTCTGCCTCAGTCAACAACCTCATCCATCAGAGCCCTGCATAAGCAGGTACAATTAACCAGCACAGCCTCAGGCTTTCCTTTTTAGAGTGATAAAGGCTGAGCTGCAGCTCTTGGGAAGAATTAAATATAGCTGAGGATACTGAATACTGAGCAATTCCAACTGCAGTGCTCAGTCTGACTGGCAAGAACAGGGCAGGCTCCATGCTGAAGCCATTAGTGATGTGACTCCTGTGATCATCTGCCTGGCCCCTGCACTCAGAGCTCAGTGTGCAGGGCTGTCCCTCTGCACACTGCTGCTCTCAGGGGGCCACATCTCTCCTGTCACCCAGCACAGTCCTTCACAGGAGGGTTGAGCAAGGGAGAAGGAGCATCCCTGTCCCTGGGCTTCCTCCCAGCCAAGGCACAGGCTGGCACTGCTGCCTCCCTGCTCTACGTCAGTGCAGGGCTGGTCAATCGAGCATATTTCAGCAGCACTAAACACTTCGTAGCGACTTCAAAGATATTTAAAGCAAGCAAACAAACAAAAACAAACAGGCTGGGAAACATAAAAGCAGATTCCTTCTATCCCTGTCTAATTGATCCAAGGGTTCAAAGATTCCTGTGAAGAAGGCAAACTCAAAACTGCATTGAGGATGCAAAGACCCATGTTCAAAGCCACACAGAGCTAATCACAGCTGGGAAGGAGGGGGATTTCATACCTACCCAGGCTCAGCTGCCCACTTCCCCACCTGAGAATACCACCTGAAGCATGGCTGCCTCCCACATGGGGATGAGCAGTACCCAGCACGGAGGCTCGGTGTCTGCTAACACACTATTGCTGCTGTCAGAGGAGGTGGCTGAGGCTGATGTGCTACTGGGAGCAAGAGCAAGGCAGCCCAGAGTCAGTTTGCACTTTGGAGTGGCACAGACGCTGCCTGGGGTGCTCCTGGTTCACTGCTACCTGCAGAGCTGAGTCCTGTGTGTCTGAAAGAGCAAGACCGCTCTCCAGGGGCACACTGTCATTGTTGGGAGAGCCGGACTCAACCTCTGTTTGCTTCGTGTTTCAGCTACTCTGTAGCCCCTTTCAGTTTGTTGCTTGAAGCTCTCTCTGTTTGTGCTTCTCCGCAAGGTCCTTGCTCTCACAAGACTTTCCCAGCACTCCCCTGGCCCCCAGCTCAAGCTTCTGACCTCCAATTGCACTCAGAGTATTCCTAAAGATCACAAAGAGCTGAGCAAGAGGAGCTGGAACAGCAGAGGAGGGCAGCAGACCCTCCTTCCACCCTCAGATTGCTGGTGGAGGGCAATGCCCAACACTTGGAAGCAAAAGAAACCTGTGAAGGAGACAGGTTTTCCCAGAACTAAGTTTCCTATGAAGGTTTATGGTACCTGCCTGATGGGGTCAGTGTGGTTTATCACATCCCTGCCCTACCAGGTGATTTTAGCATCCCGATGAGCATGCAGCCATTCCATAACCTTCAGCAGGGAAAAGAGTCTGAAGGGAAAAGCCCTGGAAATTCTCCCCAGCAAAAAGCATGGCTGGGTCCGAAGTCAGCTTGAGCCTCAACTCCCTCACCTGCTTCCCATTACAGAAACAGATGTGCCTCCTGCTCTAAATTGCTGCTATTAATAATATAAATAATTATGCTCTTCTAATAATGTAATAGGCGCACAGGAGGGTACCAAAGCTCCTCACAGATGTTAAATACATCTCCTTTCTCAAGGGCTCGGAGGCACACTGGTGGCCTCTTTTCCTCCTCTGAAGTTCAGAATAAGAGAGCTGAAGCCAGACTAAAAGCTAAGGAGAAACCAAGGGAGGCGCAGCCTGCCCTGCAGATCCATCCTCTCTCCAAGTCTTTGTGCAACAGGGACAGCACCCAAGATGCAGGTATAAAAGCATGCACGTGGCTCAGCGCCGCAACAGTCGCACTCCTTTCCTTTGGCAAGATGCTGCTGCCCAGCCCAATACAGGAGAAGCTGACTTTTACCTCCCCATCAGGTTCCCAGGACCCAGCAAGGGACAGTGGCCCCCACCTCCTACAGCAAGGAAGCCCTCCTCTGCAGGGAACCTGTCCCAGTCCCTGTGGTCCCCCCTTTATCACACCACAAACCCCTGTCATTCCCTCCAGAGAACACTCACTCTGTCCTTCTGTCGACAAAGCCCCGGCCTTGGGAACGTGAGCAACAGCATCACAGATTAAGGAGGTCAGTGCCACAGCTGCTCAGCCCCTCTTCCCACCCTCCAGCAATCACACACAGACAGGCATGGCTCTGGCTGTCAGATGGGAGAAAAATCACTGCTGGCTCCAGATGTTAACACAGCGCAGGCACATCTGGATCCCTGGAGGGCAGTGGGCAGCCCATGGGCCATGCACTCCCAGTTGTGCAGTGTGGTCAGAGCTGCAGAGCTCCTCTCCCAGGTAAAACTGGCCCAAACCCTTCCACAGTGCTCACCCTCCCAGTCCAACGTGCCTCATGCAGTGCTCTCACGCCCATACAGTCCTTGGCATTGCCTCTCTCCCCCTCCATTCGCCAGCCTAAGGGACCTGGCACCCCTCCAGCTCCTTTCCTCCACACTTTGTTCTGCCCCAGGGGCAGCAGCAGCAGCACCAAGGTTATTTTCCTGTTCCCCTTTCAGAGCAGAAGAATTCACCAGAAGGAAGCCCCTGCAAGATGCCAGGAGCGAACAGAAGGCTCCAGCCAATAAGTTTCCCAGCAGCTGTAAGGATGGAGCTGATGTAAAACAGGCGCTGGGGCAGCCGCTGTGCCTCACACAGCCTTTGAGGAAGGAGCTCAGCTCCACTGCGGCTCCTGTTGGGACACGGCAGGACATGCTGGCTCCTCACCCACAGCTCGACTCCTCAGGAAAAGCTCTAGCACTGACACAGCAGGCTACACCTTCAAGATCAATACAGAGAGCAAACACACAGAGCCGGCCCTCTCCCTCCCAGAACAGCCTGCCTCAACCCCAGCATCATCTGCCCTACGTCAGTCCTACCAGGAAGCATCATCTGCTCTACGTCAGTTCTATCAACAGGAAAGAGAGCACACGGCCTGGGAAAACGTGGCTGCACAGACAAGGTCATATTTAATCAGTGGGCACCTCCTGGGGTGCAGTTTCATCTGTGTGAATTAGTGAGCCTGTCCACAGCAACACAGCAGCCAGCTGGAAGTGCCCCACGCCAGAAGCCTGCAATGGGCAGGCTCAGGGTAGGCAGAGGCTCCCCGAGCTGCAGACAGGCACCAGGCTGTGTGCTGTGCTCTCCTGCTTCCCAGGAGTGGAGGCAGAATCACTCAGAGCAGTCAGTGAAACCATTTTGTGTGCTCTGACTGAGCCTTGCCACATCTTTATGTCCAGGTTGGGCATCTCTGAGGGTGTTCCAGGCGTGAGGCAGCACCCAGCATGCTGATGCTCACAGCCTGCCTTCACCCAATGCTGGACACTGGCTCCTTGGCTGCTAATGAGAACAGAGCAACCAAAAATCCCTGCCAGTCACCTTGTGGAAGCTTGCTTTATCAATCAGATCAGTTAGCAGGGCCCTGCAGAGCTTTAAAAGAGACAAAAGCTGATTTGCTGCTTGGTACTGGGGAATTTCATTCCTTATGCAGATTAATTCCATTAACTCATTCTGTGCCCTTTTGGGGGCCCTTGCAGCTCATGAGCAAACATACCACAGTCTCCTTTCTGCTAAAGGCACTTGACAGCCTCATCTTGCTCTGGCATTCACATTCCCTCCCCATGCACCACACCACGGATCTCAGGAAACCTTTCAATGCCATCAAAAGCCCCCAGACTCACCTTGTGCTTCATAGCCAGAATAGAGATGAGCTGTCCCCGTGTCTTCCTCCCCAGGGCCCAGGCCGAGGGCTGTCCTGAGCTGGGCCATGTTCCCCTGCGCTGTCAGCTCACCGCTCCGGTCCCCGATCTGCAGGGGGAACCAACAGGGCAGTTGGTTAAAGGACACATGCTCTAAGTAAAGAGCCACTAACAAAGGGGTTTGCCAGGCCCATATCAGAGCAAAGGCAGAGCCAGCCAAAAGGGAGCTTGGAGACACCCAGAGAGGTTATACAGCCCAGCTTTCACACCAAAGCAACTCTCTGAAGCTTCCTCAGGGATGCTTCAGGTGAGGTCCATGTGTGCTGTGCTATGCACTGCCTGCACCACAAAACATGATTCTCTGGAGATCAATACAGGGAACTGAAGGGGCAGAGCTCGCCCACTGCTACAGAACTAGGGCAGAGCTAAACCTGCATGTCTGGTCCATTCTGTAGCCACATATGGCTTGGCAAAGAGCCCTGAAACTCTCAGCCCCCTTCCTCCAGTATTTCCATAGTTACTGAGCACCAGACAGCCACGCTACTACCAGCCATGTGGGCAGTGCCACACTCAGGGGTTGGATGCTCTGAAAGCCCTTCTCTCCTGGCTCCGATCCACACAGCTTTGAGTTGTTCCTAGTGATCTGCCCACCCAAGGCTCCAGAATCCAGAGCCCAAATGTTAACTCATTCCCATCCAAGGAAGCCAGTTTACACCTTCAGGGAGAGATCTGTCCAATGGCTCCTGCTACTTCCATGGGAAGTCACAGGACATGCTGCTGCAGCCTCCTCAGTTTAACCAAACAGAAAGTTACTGTACTGCACATCACCAGTGAACACAGAGGTCACTCAAACAGCCTTGAAGCTTCAGAGGAGCAGCAGCTTGTTACAGAGGAAAACCTTGGCTGTTCCCTTGGAGAGGCCAGACTCTTCATTAAATGCCTTGCAATAGCTCACTTGTGGTCCTGTGAGATAGGCTGCAGTGGGAGCCAGCCTAGGACAAAGTCATAAATCCCCACATTAGTTATGACAAAGCCCCAGCACCAAAGGGAGGCAGATCAAACAGCTTATCAGGCACAAATCCCCCACCAATTACAAGAGATTTGCTGTTGGCATCATCTCCAGAGAAGTGACTGTGTCCTGGTTCGGTCCCACAGTCCTTGATGCTTCCCTGCCTTCCACACCTTCAGGGCCCTGCCAGCATCAGAGGAGCACACTGGCAGGATCTACCCTGAGATTTAGCCAATCTAAACGCTGAATACAAGAAAGAAGAACATGCAAAGGCCTACAGATGGTGATGTCAGTCAGTGCTTCAGCAGGGCAATTCCTTCATCTGGGAAGACTAAAGAGGCCACGGCCCATTTCCTCATTGGAAAGAGTGAACAATGGAATTCTGGCTCTCTGTACTTCTGGGCCACCTAAAACTGCCCTGTGCTCTTGTGCCAGGGAAGCTGCAAGCTGCAAGTGTGAGAGCCAGAGGAGCTGCACGCATGAGGCCCCACATGGCAGGGCAGTGTGGTACAGGGTGAGCTGTGCTCATCCAGCATCAGCAACCAACTGCACCAGCACAACGCTGGGATCCCACCAGCTCCACATTGAGGAAACAGCTTGTCCAATTGCAGTGCAAGCCACAGCAGGTTCAAAGCACCCAGGCACTGGGTGAAGGCAAGTACCTTGCCCAGGTATTTGCCAGCAAATCCAGCCAGAGCGCAGCTGGGATCACAAGGTCCATCTCAGTGGGAATCTCACAGCCTTGCACTCAGGAAAGGTGGATCTTACTGAGAGACTGGGTCCCAAGAGGTATCCGAGCTCCTTCACATCAGCTGGGGTCATTACACCTTGGCTAGCAGACTGGACAACTAGCCCCCAAGTCCCTTCTCACCCAGGAGTATCAGCTGTACAGCAATGTACAGCAACGGGGTAGCTGTAATTAAGGAGAAGATGGGAGACTCCCATTAAGAGAATATTTCCCAGCCAAGTTCTGCAGTTCCTAAAGACTCCACTGACACAGCACATAGATAAGGGCTCTCCAGAGCAGCTGGAGCAAGAAAAAAGCCAGAGTAATAGAACTTACTGGCACAAAACAAAGGCTTCCTCTCAACAGGGGGGACCAATTCCCTCGGATCTGAACCAGCTTCTCTTACCTCCTGGGAGATTTCAAGATGTTTCCTTGCAAAGTGCAGCGCCTGTTCATGGCTCCCCAGGGAGACATAGGCATTGCCGAGACTCCAGCAGGCTCTTCCTTCTCCCACCCTGCAAAACAGGAACCTGGCAACCCCAGAAATGCTGGGCAGAACCCAGCAGCCCTGTCGGGGCCTCCTCCGAGAGCACTGACAGCCAGGCCAGCCCCAAGCTGTGCTTTCACCCATGGAAAGGTTCTCCCAAGGAACATGAAATGCACTGTACACCTTCAACTCTTCTGATGCTGAGGGCAGTAAGATCAGGGGACGAGCAGTAGCCTCAGAAGCAGGCTTGCATCCACAGTGGCCAAAGCTAAACAGGGTAGGAAGAGCCCGGTTTGGCTTCATTTGTGAGCACCACCCTGAAAGCAGAAGCCACAGCTCCTGTCCAGCTTCCAGCTCACACAGTGCAGATTCCCCTCCAGACATGCACAATGCATCAAGGGGACGTGCAACATCAAACCCCAGCCTGGACTGGGTTGGAAGGGACCTTAAAGCTCCTCCAGCTCCAACCCCTGCCACAGGCAGGGACCCCTTCCACTGGAGCAGCTGCTCCAAGCCCCTGTGTCCAACCTGGCCTTGAGCACTGCCAGGGATGGGGCAGCCACAGCTTCTCTGGGCACCCTGTGCCAGCGCCTCAGCACCCTCACAGGGAAGAGCTTCTGCCTAAGAGCTCAGCTCAGTCTCCCCTCGGGCAGGTTCAAGCCATTCCCCTTGGCCTGTCCCTACAGGCCCTTGTCCCAAGCCCCTCTCCAGGTTTCCTGCAGCCCCTTCAGGTATTGGAAGGCTGTAATAATGTCTTCTCCAGCCCTTTCATTCAGCAGCAGCCCAGAGCTAAGCTAGCGAGAGCAAGGCAAGAGAGCACTGCAGCACGCAGCACTCCTGCTGAGCACCAGCACCGCATCACTCAAGATGCACGCACAAACTGGAAGCGCCTGCAAGAGCACCAAATATCGACCTATTTACACAGGCCCCCAGGGCTGCTGCCTGCAGGGAAAGCAGGTGAGCATGGACCCTGCATGCAGCCCGCAGCCAGGCTCCGGGCATCTCTGGAGCAGGTTTCAGCATCTGTTTGCTGCTGGGAGCGTGCTGAGCTCTGCAGGGGGGCAGATGTGGGGGGCAAGGGATAAAAAAAGCCCCGGGGGCGCGGGGGGCGGCTCAGCATGACTGCAGCTCTGCAGCTCCCTTGGCAGGGCTTTGGGCGGGTTCATCAGCATTTAAACGTTCCTCCTGTCAGCCTGTTCAATACCTTCTGCTCACAGGGTGTGTTCCCAGGAATGCAGGAGCCCACAGGCCTGCACCCCCACAGCATGATTCACCCTTGGGTGGGATTAGACCTTCTCTGAGCAGATTCTGCCTCAAACAGAGATCCTGGGTAGTGCCATTCATCTCCCATTGTAATGTCTCTGCTCCATCTAGTGGAGGACGTCCAGGCTTCCCGAGGGCCATCAGCAGAGCACTGAACACGGGGCTGCTAAGTCACTTGAGCTGCAAGAAGGCTCCAGGGTTACAAAGAACACCGAGGAGGAAAGAACTAACCTCTCAAAGATATGTATTTAAAAAAAAAGGAAAGAGTGAAAAGAGGCCAAGCCTCCTAAAGAAGAAGGAATGAGGCCAGGTTGGACAGGGCTTGGAGCACTCTGCTCTAGGGGAAGGTGTCCCTGCCTGTGGCAGGGGTTGGAACTGGATGAGCTTTAAAGTCCCATCGAACACAAGCCAGTCTGGGATTCTGTGAGGCCAAGAAGCAAAGCACATAATCTCCACTGGCTCTGTGTAGCATCATTCGTATCTACATGGAGGTTTCCAGCCTCAGCCCAGAGCAGGAGGACGAAGTGACAGGTATATGTGCCCCAAGCACACAGTTCCTGAGAAAGATACATTCTTGTGAGCTTGAAGAAGCTCCTAGGGCCCTTTTGGGATAAAGCAGCAGTAGCCACGTGACAAAGCACCAAATACAATGCATTTTCTTCAGCTACCTCTTACTAGAAACCTCACTCAGCCCACGCAGACAAAGCATTCAGGGCACAATCTCCAGGTTGGAATGACACAATAGAGGTGTCAGTCACGGTACTTTTCCACAGATGATGGGACTGAGGCCTGAGAGATTTCTAACGGCTTTCCAGAGTACACATCACTGATGTTTAACCCTAGCAGCAGAGAACAGTGCCATCAACAGGGAATGGTCAGGGCTCTGAACACACCAGGGCAGAGGCACCATCCCCTGAGGCAGTTCTTTACCTGTCTCCCAGCTCCTGTGCTATCACCAGGTGTTTTAGATGGTACTCGACGGCTCTTTCATAGTCTTGAAGCAGCGTGTATGTGTTTCCAAGACTGTAGCATGCCTGGGCTTCTACTGCTTGGTCTTTGAGTTGTCTGGAGAGCTGGAGTGTTTTCCTACATGGAACAAGAGGGGATGAAGAGACCTGGTTACTGAAGGGCACCTTTACAACATGACAGGAAAGTCACCACTTTAGCATGTACTGCATTGAGGTTGGTGCCTGTTACACACTGCTGTCAAGAGGCCGCATTACTCGCCACTGCTAAGCACCGCATATACAACTGGCCTCCAGGTCCCTTGTCACATCCCCCCGAGCCCGTGAATTCACTGCAACAGGTCGAGGTTTCCAGGGGACGTGTGCCCCAGCCTCTTCAGCCCCCATCACTTACTTGTAGTACTCAGCAGAGATGTCGAACCTCCCAAGGAAGATGTGTGCGTTGCCCAGGTTGCTGTACGCTCTCCGCTCGGCTGCCTTGTCCCCAAACTCCTTGGCAATAGCGAGGCGCTGCAGCAGACACAGGGGGCTGAGGACAGGCTGCACACTACCAGGTTTCTGTTACACAGCAACACTGCTGGGAGATTAATGTTGGTTTGCAAGGCTCCCACCCCCCAGGGTAGCGGTGCACACCCTGCTGGGGCTGGATGCAGCAGGAAAGCTCCCTCTTGTGCAATTCAGCATCAGAAAGGGCCTTTTGAAAAGTGGTAGCAGTATCACATCCTCCTCTAAGTCCTACTCCAGCCTGGCAAGTACACATCTCTCTAGCTAAAATGCAGAAGGTGCTACACACATACTTCAACGGGTGAATAAACAGGAGAACAGAGCACTGTAGGTCAGGCTGTGAAGGGATGTGGTTGATCAGACTAACAAGCAGGTCCCAAACTAGAGTTTTCCTGCCCTTCTCCAAGCCCCTTCTCCCACAGCCCTGCTGGCTGCTGCCCCCAGCGTTTAAGAATCACAAGAGCTGTGACAGTGCTGCTGACATTCCAAGTTGCTGAACACCCTCCACTGCAAGGAACCTAAAACAGGAGCTGAACTGTGTTTGAACTGGGGCAGGGACTGTGTCACCTCCCCCTCTGCAAAGCTTTACAGAGAGCGATGTTCTACAAGCATCATTTATTCCTGATCAATTGCTCTGCCAGCAGCTTAATTAAATTCATGGCTTGCATTTATTAAAATCTAGGAGGATACAAATTAAGAGCAGAAAAGCTTTGCCAGGCCCAGCTGCAGCTTGCCCTTGGGTACCTCCTCTGGTTTCCAAGCCAACAGCCCCCTTCCCTCAAGCTGCTCATCAGGTGCTAATGGTGACTGGTCTAAGGTGTTACTCAACATGAGTTAGTGCAAGAGGGCCAGACCCAGGGGTACACACAGGGCTTCCTGGGCTGTGATGAGAAGAAAAGCCTCTCTCCTACATCCAGTCACAGCCCCTGGACCCAGGGAGAAGGCACAGCAGTCTCCTACCTCCTTGTGGAAGGCTATAGCTTCACTGAAGTTGCCAAGTAAGTACTGGGTGTTGCCAAGGTTGCCATAAGCACGGCCCTGGGCAGCTCTGTCCCCCAGCTCCTTCACCAGGGACAGGTTCCTCCTGAAAGAAACCAGAGCAGTAACATCTGGTGAGAACAGGCAAATCTCTGCAGGAGACACAGGAAAGAAACCCACCCCATAAGGGAGAGCTAACCCTGGAGAAGGCATTTCCCCTCCCCAGCCGCCCATCCTGTGCACAGCCACCCCTTGGCAGGTGAAGGTCTGGTGATCCACAGCAGCTGCAGCTCCAGGAGCTTGTGTAGATCCGGTGGTGTACGTCCCCACTGCTCCCTCGACCTCACACAGTCTGTGGCTGTGTCCAGGCACTCACAAGTGGGCTGACAGGATCCCACCTTAACTAAGAGCGAGCCACCTCACTGTGCAGGGAGAACCAGGAGCACAGGAGGAAGGAGATTACCTACAGCAGACACAGACAAACCTGGGGAGAGAGGCAAGAACCAGTCCCATGCCAGGGCTCTGTTCATGGAGCACCCCAGCAATTTTTTCTACCTTGTTTTTTCCACCCTTTACACATACAGCACACACAGAGCTCTCAGCCAGCACAGATCTACCCACTGCCTGTGCTACATGCACCATTCTCAGGAAAAAGGATGGTGAGTTATATATAGGCACTATCACATCCTCAGATATGAGAGGATGGAGATGAGATCTTGTCACTCCATCTAAAAAGGCTCCTAAACCCCCAGCATTATTGAAGCAAAACTCTGAAGTAGGAGGAGAAAAACATTTGCCCAGAAGTCTGCTGACAACTTCCCTGCGTGGGACAGGCTGGTCTTAGAGACTGTTTAGGAAAGCAAAGGGTGGTACAAGATAAACTACAGATCCATGACAAGGACAAGCAGGACTGGAAGCAAAAGCCTCTTTCCCTGGGCCTTTGTGGTCCCAGTGATGGAGACGCTCAGGGATCCATTCTCATCAAGGCCAGCAGAGAGCAGCAGGGGCTACAGGAGCTGGTAGTGTAGCTTCCAAATACAGCTCCGAGAGGGAGCAGATTGCTGAACTTAATTGCATGATCATACTTAAAACTACAGTGAGTTTTAGCAAAGCAATGCGAGGGTGAATTTTAGCTCTAATTCTATAAAAGCCTGCATCCCCTCTCTCACCTTTCTCGAGATGAATTTGCCATTTTAACTTGGCATCTCAGGGGAATCTTCCTCATTCACTACAACACAAAATCCCATTCAGCTGCCTGATTTTTAACAGTGCTGAGCCCACAGCCCCATTCTTTGCAGCAAACATCTTCCAGAGCTCCCACATCCTCAGCGGCCCAGGAAACAAATCCCCCTATGAGAAACACTTCCAACAGGACTCAGCAGAAGTTGTCATCTTGCACCCCTGCAGCTCTCATCAGCCCAGTGGTTATCAGAGCTCAGGGCATCTGAAAGCTGTCAGCAGAACAGGGGCACCACAGCTGCAGATTATGATCTGAGCAGGAGAAGCTGAACCAAGGAGTACCCGGGTGTATGTTAGCAATCACTGAGGCCTCACCAGCCTTGTTCCCTTCAGGAGAAAGGCCTGGCCAAGCTTAAATACTTACTCATAATATTCTGAAGCCTTCTGTAGAGTCTCCTTGACTTCTTGAGGCAGGTAGCCTGGGTCTTGGGCCATGTTCCAAGATAAGTGCTTTCCCTTTGCATGGTAAACATTTCCTATATTATAGAGTGCTCTGGCTTCACCTACCTAAAGGAAGGAAGAAGAGGGAGCAGCAAGGTATTACACTTCACATCCCAATATGGACTTTTCCATTGCTGGGCAGAGATGCTCAAAGCCACATTTTCCTCTCCCATCTTCACTGTCATGGCAGCTGTTGCTGTGAGCAGCATGAGACCTGTGATGGCAGCCAGAAGGAAGAGCTTTACACTCCACCTCCTCCCAAAGCCCACCTTCACCTTATCACCTTTACTGACTCGCAGGCAGGTATCTTTAGAGCTAGGGAATATCTCCTGCTGGATGCCATGAACCCATTACCTTGTCTCCCTGCTCCTGAGAAATGTCCAAGTGTCTCTGGCAACAAACAACAGCTTCATCAAACTGCCCCAGTATTTTCAGTGTGTTCCCAAGGTTGCCACTTGCTTTGGCTTCTCCAATGCGGTCCCCAATGGTTCTACATGGAAGGTGATGGGAGGAAGGAAGAGGTGTTAAAGAGCTCAAAACCTTTTATTCAACACTTGTTGGAGCAGAACTGAAGCTGCACCAAGCACTGCATGGTGTGTACAGCACATGCAGCAGCTCCCAGCACAACCCCTGGCTGGAGTGCTTCATACAGGCTCCCTCTATTTTGGAGACAAATCTTTCTTCCCCGTTCTGCTGGATCAGGTGAACTGCTCTAACGACCTCGGGTGTACTTACAATGAGTACCTGGGGACAGGAGAACTGGACATTGCCCTGCTCTTGCTCCACATCCTTACAATCTACATCCCTGTCTCCACCTCCCTGCTCTGAAGGTGGCTAGCCCATTCCAGTTGCCTCCCACATTCTCCAAAGGACATTCACCCCATGCTTCAGAGTTAGTTTTGGATGCTTATTTCTGGGGCAGATTCCCTCAGGTTGCTGGGCTCAGACCCCACAGATGAGCCTGTGCTCATCTGATGAGGATGAAGCACTGCTGACATGCTTACCTGGCCAGGGTAAGGTCATGTTTATGGTATTCCAGGGCTTTGGAGTACTCCTTTAGGTAGAAGTAGGCATTGCCCAGCTGGCTGTAGATGGCACTGAGAGTCTTCAGGTCCTCTGTCCCCACCTGCACTGCCGCTTCGAAGAAGGCTGCCCCAGCCTTGAAGTCCCCAGCCTTGCACAGGCGCTCTCCTTCCAGGGCCAGCTCCAGGCAGGATGCCTCCATTCTGCCAAAAGCAAGACCATCAGTTCTAGAGGAGCTGGCCTGCAGTGCCCCACACTGCATGCAGTGGTGTCCTTCACTGTATGCCTTTAATTCACTCACTGCACCAGGAGAACAAACCCACAGCTGCCTCTCTGCATTCAGCCCCAAACCCCAGGTCAAACAGGGCTTGGGGACAACACCTCAGGGATAAGCAGCTTGCACACCTCGGTGCTGTAGCCGCCAGCTTCCAGTGGCCATGGTGGGCATCCAGCCCCCCTGAAAAACCAGCCTAGGAGGCATGGGACACATGTGGATTCACAGAGCACATCTGCAAGTGGCCAGAGGCAGCCCCTGGGCTCCCAGTAGGAATCTGAACAAACTCAGAGCTTGTGGCTCTCAAGATGCACACAGGCGACAAGAGCAACATGGCATATGCAGAAGCCACGTACCCAGACTGGTGCAGACTCATGCCTGCATCACCTTCCCGGGGTAACAGAGAGGGCAGCCAAGCCGACACATTTCCCTTGGATGCCAGAGGAAACCCTGGACTGTGCAGAATTCCTTGGCTGCGCAGCTTCCAGCGCTCCTTGTCTGCTTCTCATTACCTCTCCTGCTGTCACTTTTTCCACAGGCACGCTGCACATCAGCCTCCAGCCCAGCTTCCCTCCCTCGTGCTTCTCAGCACCTTTGGCAATGGCACATGCTGTGCTGTCAGTGTAAGCACAGTGTGAGCCAGCAGAGGAGTGAGCCCAGGGATGCTGCTTCAAGAGAAGGGAATCGTGCTCCTCCGAGTGCCAGCTGTCCCCACTAGACCACACGTACCCAAAGCTCTCAGAGGGGGCAGAGCACGTGTCTGAGAGCTGCTGCAAAGCCAGCCCCTTCACAAGGCAGATGGACACAGCGTGTTCCTGCTCCCCTGCTCCCGCTTCTCTTGGCTCTGTTTGGCTTTCTCATTTCTGCTCAATGGATTTTTAAAAGGCAAAACCCTCTCGGTCAAAGGCAGACATTGCTCAGGGAAATCATGGCTCGCTCGTCCAGTCAGCAAAGCAAGGGACAGGCAGAAGATGGTGTCCAAAGGTGGCTTCTGCTCTGTTCTCAGGCAGAGAGCACTTGCAGGAGGTCTGACTGTGGTACCCACAGTAAAGAAAAGCTTGCTCGTTGTCACCGTGGTAGCAGCAGCCCAGCTGACATCTCCCATAGCAGGCTCCTGCTGAGCCCTAGAGGATGCTTCCCCCCACACCACCCTTACGATGAGCCCAGCCCCGCAGCCAGGGTCTCTGTAGACCAAGGCTGAGGGGTGCTGGCCAGGCCAGGGCACCCTGTGCTGCTCTGGCTCCTCTCCCTGAGGGTGCAACCTGCCCCTGTACCCCCACACACATCCTGTGCCCACTGACCTGAGGGCAAAGCTCCTCCTGCGCCAGGGCTGTGCTCCAGCATCCTCTGGCCAAGCCCACAGCCAGCACTGCCTCTGTGCTGCCAAGGGGCACAGGGAGATGCACGTATGGAATGCCAATTCCCGATATATTTTTCCTACAAACAGGAAGGATGGGGTTTTCTCAGCTGCCAGGAAACAAAGCCAGTTCCTCTGTGAGCAGTGCATAAACTGCCTAAAATCCAATCCTATTTGTCTGGCAACCTGCCTGCTGAGCTGGCTCCATACGGCTCCAAACACCCAACGCTTGGCAGCCAAATGGCATCCTCCAGAGCAGGACAACCCACAAGGACTGTCCAAACAACAGAGCAATGACATAAAAATGGTCAAAGAGCTGGGTTGGGGCTCTCCCTCCAAGCACCCTGCTGACCTCTCATGTCTCACTGTTCATCTGTCCCCATAACCACCGGGTCACACAAGGGAGAACAGGGCTGAGGCAGCTCATCTGGGCTCCCACCTCAACCTCCCCCACAAACGTCTGATTTCAAGCTCACTGCAAAGCCCCATTTGGGTGGCTATTTCACTTGCACAAAGAGGCTGCTCCCGGTGCCAGTGCAGCATCAGCCCCTCTGCTTCTGTTTCAGAGGGGAAATAGGAATATTCAGACTGTCAGTACTAAAACTGTCTAACTTCTCTCTGCTGACCCTCTTGACAGGCCACATGGAGGTTAGTAAGAACAAGCTTCTGCTACAGCTATGTTGAATTAGAGGGACCCATTTGGGGGTGATACCAAAGCTCCATCAGTCCCTAGACACGTTCATGGTTTGAGGGGTTATCCAGTGTCATCATCAGGTACTGACAAATCTCTGCTGACTGGGACTGAAGACGGACAAGGAACTCTTTGTAGTCCCATCAGCGACATTAAATTCAGGCAGCTGAGGCGCAGGAAAGAGCCACTGTCCCAGGAATTAACTGGATTCTGGTTAGAGGATAGCACACAGAAGCAAATCTCAAAATAACCAGTTCAGATTTCAACACAAGCAAAACTCTTCCCAGTGTCCAGGTTCTCTTTAAGAAACTGAGCTCACCACCTGTAAGCAGGCTGAAAACTGAGCTGGAGACCAATTTCCCTGACTCTTGGCATTGCAGCCTAGCTCCAACCAAACTTGTGTGATTTGGATAGCTTGAAGTGAGGGTTCCTGTTCCCTCCACACAGAAAACCCTTCAGCAACACAACCCAGCTCCAAGGGTGCCATCTCCCTCGGGCCATGCTTGCCAGTGGGACCCACCAGAAGTGAAATCTGTGCCCTGGGGCCACATTCCAGTACACTCACACAGTTTCACACACACTTTCTGGGTGCTCTCCTGGTGCTCCCATAGGAGCTGCTCAGCACAGGACAGTGGTGTGCCCCTCAGTGCCACAGTGGCGTGCCCTCCAGTGCCATGGTGCCGTGCCCTCCCAGTGACACAGTGGAGTGCCCCCCAGTGCCACGGTGCTGTGCCCTCCCAGTGCCATGGTGCCGTGCCCCCCCAGTGACACAGCCTTTACAATCTGCTTGTCCTTGCACGGGCTGCCCTGCCGAGCACCTGCCTGATCGGATTAACATCAGCGCTCAGGCTGGGACCCACACAAACAAGGGGAAGGGAGAGGAGGCTTTTCCTCTGCATCACGCTGCTGCCACGGGAAGGGACAAGGCTGCAGGGTAGCAGCTATTCATAGAAACACAACCCACTCCTAAACCCCACCTGCCCTTCCCACATCCTCAGGGCCCCACAGCCAGGGCTGGTTTGGGGAAGCAACTCTGCATGCAGCTCAGTCACTGCAGGCTTAAAAGCAACCAGAAACACAACGCTGAAGGCAGAGGAACCAACTAAAGGTCAAGGAACAAGCTCGGGCACACTGAATCACTCCACATACAGCAGCTTCCAAAGGCCACAGCTCCACTGTCCATCAGAAAGGACTACAAAGGTGACTATAGGAATTTGCTGCTCAATGGAGCCAACCTGACCCACCTTGACAGACCGGCAAAGGGAGAACCAACAACAACAGGAGACATCAACAACATCACCAACAGACTCCAGCTGCAGCCCCGGTTCCCCCCACAGCAACACCTGAGCCCTCACCCACCTCTTCTTCTGCATTTTCTGGACATGGACCCAGAGCTCCAGCCCCACCGGCAGCAGGAGGCAGCGGGACTGGGGTCTGCTGGGCACAGTCTTGCAGACAGGTCTCTCCCTGAAGTTCACAGGCAGCATCCGGGGTTTTAAAGATGCTGATGGCATTCCCGTGTCTGTACAGCGCACACTGCGCTCCAGGCTTCACTCCGACCACATGGACAACCTTACCATTAAGGTACTGGAATCTTGAGCTGTGCTTATCTGGGGTGTTTTTTGTCTCTGCTGTCACTGAAGGGGGAAAGGAGCATTGCTCTTCTCTCCAGAGACCTAGAAAAAGCAAAGTCTTCTTTCCTTTAAGAAATACAATGTCCTTTGTCTGCTGTTGGCTTCAGGTAGCAGATAGGAAGGTCCACAGCTGAAATCCAGGAACAAGAGTGTCTTGGTTCACTCACTTTCTGTACTGCTCAAAGGAAAAGGGCCCTAGAAGAGCCCATGAGATGGCACAAGGCAGCTCCCACCGTTCTGAATTGCTCTCTTCCCAAAACACTTTGCCTCTGGGGTCTCAACAGCTATTCCTGTTGGTGCCTCCTAGATACAACAATAGAAAGACTTCCTCTCTTTGTGAGGTGCAGAGCCAAGGGCTCCTCCAAAAGAGGGCCACTTTGGGGCAGAAGCACTCCTTGGTTTGACAGGCTCCAAAGGGGTCTCATCCATCTGCCACCAGGGAAGCTTTGCAAGTTCCAGAAATGATCGGAGCAGTTCTCACACTGGAGAAGAGCAGAAGATGGATCCCATGGAGCACATCTCTGCCCATTTAAATGGCCTCCAAACCATCCCCATCCATGATGCACAATATTCTACCCCTCAGCCTCCAGATACAACCCTCCTCCCCTGCTGACACGTATGCAGCATGCCTGGGCCTGCACCACCTCAGCAAGTACGCACTATTCACATCTTAATACCAGAAAAGAAGATTCAGGCCCTCCTGAGCCAGCAAATTACTGCTGGCAAGCGGAAGGTGCTGGGCTTGGCCATATGGCATGGTTCAGAAGAGGCACTGCAGAGCACGAGCCGCTTTTCCAGGGCTTAGATGCTGGGGCTTGTTTACACAATCCTCCCGTCGCCTTCAGCCTTTTGCTGACAGCACAGGACATCCCTGACTGAGGGTTCTGGGCAGAGACCTGGGGAGGGGAGAAGCTCACTTGAGGTAGCCCCTGTTCGCAAGCCTTGCCCTAAATCACTGCACACCACTCAGATCTGTGTGTTCCTCCAGAGCGGCAGGATTCCATCCAAGTATTCCCAGAAGTCACATCCCAGACTCCAGGCCCACAACAAAAGAACAATTCCTTAAAAGCAGAAAGAGACCAAACAGAAACCCAGTGTTTGGTCACAGATGAGTTGGCAGTCTGCACAGGGCTCTGCTGGAGGAACAACTGAGTGGCATAATGCTGGCACAGCGCTCGGCTCCCATCAATGTGACAGCTGAGAATCTCAAGCCCAGGAATGGATGTTGCTTCTGACACTCATAAGGT